TTCTCGCCCAGCGTGGAGCTGAACTTGCTGACCAGGAGCATCGTGAGGCCCTGGTTGGAGTCCGCTGTCGGGCGGTAGTAGATCCTGTTCCATCGCTGGAAGGGCATGGGCTGCCCCCCAGGCTCGCCCTCGCACGGGTCGGCGTCCTCTGCGTCGACGCTGGGCTCGTCGAAGGGCGACTCGGGCTCGGCCTCGGAGTCTCCCAGAGGCAGCGGGGGGCCTGACAGAAAGTTGCCGAACTCGCCCGATGCGTAGTCCAGCAGATCCTCGAGAGCGCCCTCCTGCACCAGAGCGGTGCCAAGCACGCAAGCGGCGAGCCAGGAAAGGCGCGTCGTGGCTGCAATCCCGCGCGCGCTCAAAGGGAGGCGCGAGAGGGCTGCTGCTCGTTGAAACTAGAGCCAATACGCTATGGACATCTATTCTGCACCTGCTACGCATGCTGCCCCACCCCCTCCAGTCTCTCGAGGCCCGAGGGGGGGGGGGGGTCAAGCGCCCAGGGCCCCTAGGCCCCAGAGCGCAACACACGGCCTGCACCTAGAGCTCTCTTAGAAAGCCCGTTAACAAACATGTAGAAACCGCTGCCCTCCCGCGCCCCCCGCGCCCCCCGCCCACTTCCGGCAGGTGGTAAGTGGCGCAGGTGTACTTATTGATGTCATCATAACTGGCAGCGCCGGTTGTGCCATGCTGTTCCACTTCGGTTGGTAAGTCAAGCAGGGCCAGCAGGCGGCGCCGAAATGGGCTGGCGGCGCCGCGCGAACCTTCCGCAATGTGCATATATATATATATACGTATCGGAGGTGAGGGGGTGAGATCGAAGTGGAACGGAGAGCCCCCCTACCGGGAAATCGGTTTCGGTTTCGTGTTCGTGCGTGCCGTGCGGGCGAGGCGAAGCTGCGTGGGCGGGCGAGAGAAAGTCTCCTGTGGCTGAGGCGCGGCCGGACCAAATGACTCCCTTCCGGCGTGGCCCGCGGTGTCCCGCCGGTGTCCCGCTGGTGTCCCGTGTGGCTGAGGCGCGGCCGGACCAAATGACTCCCTTCCGGGCGGCCGGTGGCCCGCGGTGTCCCGCCGGTGTCCCGCGGTGTCCCGCGGTGTCCCGCGGTGTCCCGCCGGTGTCCCGCGGTGTCCCGCGAGGATGATGATGATGAGATGATGATGATGATGATGATGATGATGATGATGATGATGATGATGGTGATGATAATGATGAGATGATGATGATGATGATGATGATGATGATGATGGTGATGATGATGATGATGGTGTCCCGATGAAGATCATGAAGTTGATGATGGTGTCGATGATGATGATAGTGTCCCGATGATGAGAATGATGATGATCATGATGATTATGTTGATGATGATGACGATGATGGTGTCCCGATGGTGCTGATGATGATGATAATGATGATTCCGATGATGTTGGTGATGGTGATGTTGGTGGAAATGGTGTCCTGGCGATAATGATGTTGATGCTGATAATGTTGATGATGATGATGGTGTCCTGATGATGATGCTGCTGATGATGATGGTGATGATGATGGTGATGCTGATGGTGTCCCGATGCTAATGACGATGTTGATGATCTTGTTGCTCATGGTGATGACGGTGCCCCAATGATGATGATGTTGTTGATGATGATGATGTCGATGATGATGATGCGATGATCATGATTATGATGGTGTCCCGAGGATGATGACGATGTTGATGATAATGTTGATGATGAGAGCGATGGTGGTCATGATGGTGTCCCGATTATGATGATGATTCTGGTGATGCTGCTGATGATGATGACGATGACTGTGTCCCGATGATGATGATGTTGATGATGATACGATGATGGTGATGATGATGATGTTGCCCCGATGATGATACTGAAGTTGATGATGATGGGTATGATGATTATGATGATGACGGTGCCCTCATGATGATGACGATGATGGTGATGATGTTGATGTTGATGTTGATGATGTTGATGATGTTGGTGATGATGCTGATGCTGATGATCATGATGATGATGACTTTGAATGTGAGAGCGATTGTGATATCGATAGTGAGATCGATATTGAGACCGAATGTGAGATCGATTGTGTGATCGATTGTCAGATCGATTGTGAGATCAATTGTGAGATCGATCGAATGAGATAGATCGAGTGAGATCGATTGTGAGATCGATCGAGTGAGATCGATCGAGCGAGACCGATAGTGAGATCGATACTGAGATCGATAGTGAGACCGATCGAGTGAGACGTTGGTTCCCCCCCCGAACCTCCTTATCACCCGAAGGGTGGTCGTATAGGTAGATATATAGATGTCTGTGTGTGAGCCGATCTTCTGGGCCTTTAACACGATTGTGAGAGACAATATTTCGCCACATTCTCGCGCAGGCATTCAAGTTGATTTCTAAAGAAGCAGATGGATATCAACGTCAGTGACCTCGCTACCTCCTGAAATCTGGAGTTGTGAGCCTTCTCCTCCGAGAGAGGATCGACCAAGTGGAACGACCGCCCGCGGGCTTCCAACCCATGGCCCAGACGAAGGGTAGCAACGGCCAACATCGGGCCCTTCACCCCCGTCCATCGCCGCGGTGTACACAAGGAGAGTTTCCGAGAGACCACAAACGGCCACGCAGGCAGGGATCCCGCGGCCGAGCCGAACAGCGGCGCCGAGCAGAGGCCTCACGGGGTGAGCCAGGCATCCACATAGCACACAGGACAGACAACGACTCTGCTGGGAACTGCTGTCCCAACCGAAGGCCATTTGAAGCGGCAGCGCCAGCGGTCGCGGACGCGTGTGTCGTTGCCAGCGGACCGCGCCGAGAGCGAAGCGCGAGGGCAGGCGGAAATGAACAGGGTGGCCGCGCCGCGAAGGGCAAGGTACAGTCGGCGCACCAAATAAGAAACCGGCTTGTCAGCAGGTGTCCCACGAAAGTTTCTCATCCCCCGATGGTCTTCGGAGCCACAGAAGTTCTGGGGCACCGTGGGCCCCTCAAGTCGACGAAGAATGTGCCCACTTGCTTTTTAACATGGCAAGCATTATCATCGTTCGTGTGCCTGCCATGCTGCCGCCTTTGCCGGCCCCCGTCGCCAGGCTCTGGTGCTGGGTCGGGGCTGTACCACACGCGAGGGCATAGGAGGTGGGAGGGAAAGAAGAAGAAAAACAAAACGAAGAAAAGCCGAAAAGGAGCAGAAGGAGGAGGAAGAGGGGGGAGGAGGATAGCGCAACAGTTCGGGCGGCATGTCCGTCTGGGCGCGAGGCTACCAGCGCCCGCCGCGCCCACCTCTTGTGGCGGGAGGTGCCGCTTGCAAAGCAGGGGTGGTGAAACTACCCTCCCCCCTGGCGCGGTCTTGAAGGACCCCGCTGGAGAGCTAAAAACCGGAAATGGTGACAATGGTGAGACTCGCCCCATCTGCATGGCCGCGGACAGGGACGCCGGCTGTACGCACGCTTTGGCATGCTGGATACGGCGCCCACACAATGACGGCGCCACCTTGGGGCATCCCCCGCGGCGGCCCAATGAGACGGCAACGGAACAGGTGCCAGCTGTTCGCGGAACCCACTGAGGGAGGAGGGTCGCTAGCATTGGTGTGGCGCGCGTTGAGCAGCAAGGAAAGCTTGTGGGAGGCCACAAGGGAAGCGGCCAGCCGGAAAGCTTGCTGGAGGCCGTCCCAGGCAGCTTGTGTTCAATGGGGCCTGTCAAGCAGTGGGGCTGACTGTTCCTAGATGTGCTGGAAAGAATGGGCAAGGTAGTTGGCCCGTTGGCCCGCGGAGGGGGAGGGGGAGGAGGAGGAGGGGGAGGAGGAGTAGGAGCAGAGGGAGAACGGGGAGAAGGGGAGCAGGCGGAGCAGGAGGAGCAGTAGCAGCGCCTCAGGCTGGCCCGCTCTTCGACGAGGGCGCGGACCTCGGCGCCTTCGGCCAGCCCGCGGGCTTCCTGACGACCACGGGGAAGCGGGCACACCAGGCGGGACCACCGCGGAGCGGGCAGGAGATCTGCGCCTCGGGGCGCCACGCTGCACCGAGTGAGGGGGGAAGGAGGACACCCAGACATGCCCGCGCCGTCAGAGAAGCACGACGGATTGTTTTCTAGTTCAGTTTTCGGACTTTGGGTGCCCTCGCTGGGCCGCTGGGGCCTTGAAGAAACGATTCCGGATGAAAACCATATGCCTAGGAATGGGTCGAGACATTCAGGGGTCCACGTTGCGCAAAAATCACGACGTCGGAGGTATGTGGTTCGAGGTGCAAGGCTTTCATGCGTTTTCGTAGTTTCTGGAGGCTCGTCAGCCTCGGGATGCTGTCCAGCAGCTGCGCCCTGCAGAGAGCGTTCTGGGCGTGCCCAGACCGACCCGAACGGCCGCCGGAGACCTAAGTTCTGAGCAGAGACCACTCTCCCGCACAGGAACCCAGACATCCGGCGGCTCGAAAACATCAAGGCGGCCAGTCGTTCCCCATCTTTGGCTTTTTGGGGCCGGTTCCGGGCCAGGGATGAAGAGGCGGTCCCTGGGAGGGATCCGAAAGGGGCCCATGTTTTTGGAAAACGCCGAACCGCCAGATTTCTGGGGTGCTAGTCTTCAGGCCTCCCAGCAGGTGGCCTGGTCATTGCCACCAGAACCCGAGGTGGGCGTCGTCATCCCTGGGCGGCGCTGGGGTTCCGAAAGGGGGGGGCGAAAATTGCTAAGATCAATTTGTTGAGGGCCTATTGGGCCGTCCTGGGGACCCTTTAGGGCCGTCTGGGAGGCCGTCTCGGTCTGTCGGAAGCCCGAACAGGGGGTAACGCAAACAACAGTGAACAATATCGTGGGAAATCCAAGATTTAGGCTTCTTCGGGTTTCCTGGAGGGCTCTTGGAGCCCTCTAAGGCCGTATTTGGTGGCCTCTTGGGCTGTTTTTGAAGTCCCTTGGTCCGTCTGACGCCTCGGAGGGCGTCTTTGGGGCTTCTCTTGGCCGTCGTGGGGTCCCCCCTCCCTGGCATCCTGTTTCCCTTCTACCTCCTCTGTCGTTGCCGTGCTGGCTCGAGAGCGCGCCACCTCGTTCGAGGCCTCTGGGGTTGTGGCACACCGCCCGCGCCCGCGCAATGGCCCTGGCCATCCAGCAGCGGCCCCCACGGGCGCTGGCGTTCGTCCGTGAGCTTATCGAGCTGGACGCGGGCCCGGTGCAGGCGGGCAGCGACCAGGCTCAGAGAGGAGAACACACACACACACATACGTACACATGCTGATGCTGACACCATTCTCTTGGCTTTACCTTTTTGGGGCCTCCCAGAGGTGCCCTCGTTAACGGCTGGACTCGCCTCAGAATCGGGGTCAGAACGCGCCCCCAGAGAGGTCCAGGGAGTACATAGCGACATCGTCACGTTCCTAGACATGCGACGCCTAGACTTTTCAATGCGCGGTCACTGGAAGTCCCGTTGTGAGTTGTTTTGAACGGTCCCAGGGTGTAATAAGGGCCCCGAGAGGCCGAAAACAGTGAAACAGCACCGTCTTGTTGTTGGTCGAGAGGCCGAAAACCGCGAAACAGCACCGTCTTGTTGTTGGTCGATGTGTGTGTTTCTTGCTTTTGCTCCACCAAATGCGAATGCGCTGGCTCCCCAGGGCCAGCCTAGCAGCGCGGTGACCAGCCTGCTGCTCTCCTGCCTCAGCGGCACCGAGCGCGAGCCGCAGCAGGGCTGCCCGAGCCTCACCCCTCTGCAGGCTACGACGGCGCTGGTGCGGCTGCTCGGCGCGGCCGAGGGCGACCCGCGGGGCGACGCCGACCTCGCCGGGTCGCCCGGGGGTGGCGCCGTCTCGCTGGTGGCCAAGGCGGAGCGCTTGGGCGCCGACGCGGCAGACCCTCTGCGCGGGGAGGCCATGCTGCGGGCAGTGGCGGGCGTCATGCAGCGCCGCCTGCCTCAGTTCGAGCTGGGAGAGGAGCCCTTCCTGCAGCTGGAGGTCCTGCGTGCCATGAGACTGCAGCTGCTGCCGCCCCCACCGGCGTCCGAGGCGCTGGCTTGGTGGGCCGAGCAGCGCATCGGGCCTGACGAGCACGCCGCCCTGCGGCGCCAGCTGGTGGACGTCGTGCTGCGCTCCCTCCGCATTGTGGCCGACGGCCAGCTCAGCCGCAGGCCGCAGGCCGTCGCCCTCGGCTGCCTGCGCAGCCTGGCCGCCTGCTCCGCCTCCTGCCGCACCAACGCGCTGCGCGCTGGGGCCGCGGCGCTGGCCGTCGAGGCACTGCAGGCGCAGACCCGCGCCCCCGGCCCGCCGGCCGAGGCCGCGCTGGTCCTGGGTTGCGAGGCGCTCGTGGCCCTGACGGCGGGCTCGCGCTCCAACGCGCGGGCGGTCGCCGAGGCCGGCGCGGACGCCCAGGCCCTTGAGCTCATGCGCCGCTTCGGGCAGCACCGCGAGGTGGCCAGCGCGGCCTTCTCGCTGCTGGGCGCCGTGGCGCGGGACGAGGCCGCGGGCGCCCGGCTGGCCGCGGCCGGGCCCGAGGCCCTGGCGGCGGCGCGGGCCGTGCTGGAGCGGTGGCCGGAGGAGGTGCGCGGCGCCGCCGCCTCGGGCCGATCTCGGGCGCCCGCGCCGGAGCTGCTGGCGGCGCTGCAGGCTGAGAGCAGGGCGAATAGAGACAACGATGTCAGTTGGCCTTCGGGTGTCCCCTCGTCGCCACGGCTGGACGGCAGTAGCGATCTGTCGTGATGTTCCAAGTGTTTCGAGACGTCGATCTCTGGACCCCGCTGGGGCCCTGAGATCCGACGTCTCGGAAACAAATAAAGTATCGTGTGCAATCACGACTGGAGTCCTATAGGCCGCATCTTGTTGCGCCTTTGTTCGAGTCAGATCGATATGTAAGGGTCTCGGGGCCCGAATCTGGGCGAACACGCCCAGCTCGGAAGAATGGGACGGCAGGATCGCAGGCGGGTCCAGCTGCACCAGTTTTCCGAGCTGCGTCCAGCCGTGGCGACGAGGAGACCCCCGAAGGCCAACTAATTACCGTTGTCTCCACTCGCCCAGCTCCAACAGGCGCCGCCGCCGTCGGCTGAGAGGGGCGACGGGCGGGCCGGGCGGACAGGCGGCACAGGCGACGGCGGCGTGCCGTCGCGCGGCGTGGGTACCTCTGCGGGAAGATCCGCGCTGGAGTCGAGGTGACGGCCGGGCGGTGGCCCGTTCTGACGTGCGTCGTCCAGGGGCCGATCGCCAGACATGCTCGCGTCGTGCAAGCACACGACGGCCAGTTTTGCCCGTTTTCGGCCTCCAGGGGCCCTCGCCAGACTCCAGGACCGTCAAAACACTACTTCGAGATGCAAGGCCGGCCTTGGGGCAAGGGTTCGGACTTCTGGGGGCCGCGTGGAAAAGCAAAACGTCGCATGTCTGGGTATAGGGCCCGCATGTGTTCCTTCCCACCCTACTGCTGTGAGGGAGCCCCGTAGGCTGTAGGTGGCGAGAGGCAAAACTTGCCACCCGCCCAGGCGCGTTCGACCTGACTGCTCCCGCTTTACGCTCGCCCAGCCTGTCCCGTCTGGAATTACGTGCTTCCTCTCCCCCCTCCCGAGAAGGTCGAAGGCGGAGTCCAGGGCCACGTGAGACTCCATACCCATTCCCCACTATAGAACGATTCTCGCCCACCGGCACCGGCACCGGCACCGGCACCGGCACCGGCACCGGCACCGGCACCGGCACGGGCACCAGCGCCGTCGCCGGCGCCAGCACCGGCACTGGCACCCGCACCCTCAACCGCACCGGCACCAGCCCTGGCACCGGCACCGGCACCGGCACCGACGCCGGCGCAGCACTGGCACCGGATGAAAAACATCATTGACATTGAACATCATGACATTTCCCAAACAGTGCTTGCACTTAGGGGGCCTTCTCTCTTCTTTCATAGTATTAGCTGGGTCGTCTGTGGGCGGTCTGGCGGCTCTCTCCTCCTCGCCGTTGCCGCCCTGTCGCCGCCCGTTGTTGTCTTGGCTTGAGGGGCGGTCTGGTTTTTCCGTCCTTGCCGTCGCCCCCCCTTGCTGCGTCGTCGCCGCCCGTCGTCTTGGCCTGAGGGTCGGTCTGGCGGTTCCTTGCTCGTTGCCGTCACCGTCCCGTCGCCGCCTCCTCGTCGCTGCCCTGTGCGCCCCCCCAGCGGTTGCAATCCAATCGGTTGCAAGCCAATCAAGTGCAAACCCAGTGGAATCGATTGCAGTCCAATCAATTGTAAAATTATGTAAACGCAGTTCCCCACATTAAAACAAATAAAGGAGAAGCTCATCGAACGAGTAAGTACGCACGAAAGGGCAGACGAAAGAAAGGAGGAGGGAGGACAGGTGCTCAGGAAACGAAGCCTTGTAAATAGTACGGGTTGTTGATACCCTCTTCGCTCTGGCGGGGCCCCGCTGGAAGGGGGGAGGCCTACGAAACCTGGTAAAGAGTAATGTTGTCCGCGACCCTCCTCGTTCAAGCGAGTCCTCCTCCTCCTCCTCCTCGTCGTCCTGCTCCGTCTCGTCCTCCTCATCCTCGGCATCATCCTCATCATCATCATCATCATCATCATCATCACCAGCATCATCGTCGTCATCATCAGCATCATCATCAGCATCGTCGTCACCCCGTCGTCGTCGTCATCATCAGCATCATCGTCATCATCATCATCACTATCAACATCATCAACATCATCATCTTAATCGTCAGCATCATCGGCATCATCATAACCATCATCATCATCATCATCATCATCAGCATCATCATCATCGCCAGCGTCATCGTCATCATCATCGTCGTCGTCGCCACCATTGTCATCAGCATCATCATCATCACCATCATCATCATCAGCGTCGTCATCATCATCATCATCACCATTACCGTCCTTGGCATCATCATCGTCCGCATCATCGTGGACGTCATGATCATCATCATCGTCGTCATCATCATCAACAGCACCAGCAACGTCAGCATCAGCAGCAGCATCGTCATCATCACCAGCATCTGCATCATCATCCTCGTCGTCGTCGCCATCGTTGTCATCATCGTCATCGTCATCATCATCATCGTCATCATCATCAGCATCATCATCATAATCACCGTTATCGCCATCGTCATCGTCCATCACCATTATCGCCATCGTCATCGTCATCGTGAACAGCAGTATAACCATCGTCATCACCATCATCATGATGAAGCCTTCCTCATCGCAGAACTCCCCCTCCTCCTCACCCTCCTCAGTGGGAGGAGTAGGACGTGAGATGGATAGGTAATGTTCTCCCCTCCTCCTCACCCATGTCAGTGGGAGGGGCACGAAACCATTTAAATAGTATGGGTTTCCGATACCCTCCTCGCTCAGACGGGGCCTCCCTGGAGAGGTGGTAGGGGCACGAAACCATGTAAATAGCATGGGTTTCCGATACCCTCCTGAAGGCCCTCGGCCTTACTAATTGTTAGCAGCAGTTGTAAGTAGGTTATAAGTAAGTTGCAACTAGGTTGCAAGTAGGTTATAACCATTAGTAATGTTACTAAGTCGGCTAACTCGGGCGGTGCATTTGGAGGTAGATAGCTTGAGTTAACGAAGTTACTAACTTCGCTAACTTTTACATGTTTACTTGAAAACAGAGCTGCTACATCGGGTGTTCCTTGGATGTTGCCTCCAGAAACGCATGCATGTGTTTGGATTTTCGGGATCACGCATATCGAAAATCATGATCCAGACTTGCGTGCGAACGCATTCAGAATATTGTATCGAGCGTTTCAAGAATGTTGTGCATTGCAAATGCAACATATCATTTTGAATTTACAACCCTCTGTTGCAAAAGTTTTTTGATGTCACTAGAGTTTGGGCTCGAGCCGTTTGGGCGAGGATTGCTGCTGGCGCTTGTGGCGTCCTCCTGCACGCGGCGTGATGAACGCCTCCCGTGAACAGCAGATCGCGGAGGTCCGCCCCAAGATGATGGCCATCAAGGACATGTACTTGCATCATGATGCAGCGGTGGTCTCATTACTTGAAGACACATGCAGAATTGCAAGAGGCATCGACTGCCTGAGGGTAGAAAAAAATAGATTTGAAGTATATGATGGTGTGCACAGAGAATCGTTACGGAGATGGGATCATTCCGAGCGAGGTTATGGACTTGATCTCCAAGATCTTCAAACATGGATTCAGGAACTCAGCCCTCCAGAATCCAGCTTGCATTGGACTTCCACCAGTGGGCACGCCTGAGTACAATAAAATCAAGAACTTCAATTTCAAAATAACGGAGGACTCAGCGGGCCAGCTGCCGCAGTATGATTGCGATGCAAAGTTCGCATCCTATACGTGCGGCCACGCATCCATGGGTTTGCGCTGCATCAACGCAGGGGTTCCAGTACCCAGTGCCCACGGTCATGCCAGAGCGTTTCGACAGAATCTCGCACCAAGGGAAATTGTCACTGACGAGGTTACGGGAGGTTCAACCAGACTACGCTAAGGCGTGTGACGAAGGAATTGAGTGGAAGGTCTTTCGGTACGAGTTCGTGAAGGAGCTTCCGTGGATTAGTAATCTTGCTCAGGAGGCTGGCAATGCAGGCCAACAAATTGCCGGATGCGAATCTCGCGTGAGTCTCGTATACAAGATCGCAGCCATTGCCAACCGACGCCGCACGGGTGGCACCGCGATCGATTGGGATAGTGTGATCCGCGAGGCGACTCGCGCAGGCTCTCTCTTTCCTGGGGAGATCGATGGCTTAGTAAAATATGTGAAGGAGTTGTCTGGCGGCCTCGGCAACCCGATCTTTCTGAACGAGCTTCGCGACTTCTCGCGGCAGCTGACCCCCCAGTGCGTGGTCACGGGTTCAATGGCGAAGTCTCTCGCCGAGGTGCAGATCAAGCATGAGGGGGCCGCTGCGACATTCAAGCTCGCATGCGTGAAGGCGATGACATGTGCGACGGGTAAGTTCGCGAGGGATGGCCATCAGATGCTTTTGAAGCCAGGCGACGTGACCGCCTTGTCGAGCGATAAGAAGTCTACGATTGTAATGGTGGCCGATGAATTTCTTCAGAAAGTGCGACAGATCGCATGCGGTGAGGGCATCACGGCAGACACGGTCGCCTACGGCACCATCGTGGGATTGACTGACGTTCGCGTAGTTCATTTCGTGTTCAACAAGCCCGATGAGCGCTTAGGCACTTGCAAGACGCTGAATGACATCGGGGTCAGCTTCACCACTGCGTTGGCAACGCACGTTGGCAAAGCAGTTGCTAGCCCATGGAAGCAGATCGGTCGCGAGGGCGCATCCAAAGCCGTGACAGGGCAGGCGCGTAGCTCAGATGTGAAAGAGTACACCGCTTCGGGCAAGTGGTCGAACCAAGTGGACAAGCTCAGTGACAAGGGGTTTGAGGTTGGCGCCAAAGTCGCCTTGGCGAGCGACACCTTGGGTGAGAACATTTACGAGCTGATCTCCATCGACGCTGCGACTGGCGTGAAGTTGAAGCTTCAGGCCACGGGCAGTGCGACATGCCACCCCATCGACGACTTCTTACGTGGCAAGTTCGTCGTGTCCACGATTATGAAGGACAGTCTTGCGACCTCGTCGCAATGCATGTGGAATGCATATACACCCCCACACCTTTGAATTCTCGTTCGTCGTTCCCTCATCTCATTTGGCTCTGCGTCGTCATGTCTCATCTTTTTTTCCCGCTGCTCCCCCATAGAGGAAACGATCGACAAGTTCGCTGACCATGGCCCCCTCAAGTCGGTCGATTACCAGTGGGGTATCGAGGAGGCCAAAATCAGGCTGGCCTTGGATGATGTATACAGCCAGAACGGCAACTGTCTCAAGTACATGAGTGGCGTGATTACGCCTGTTAAGCTTCGTGATCTCACCGTAACGCGTTCGTTTGAGGCTGAGGAGCTGGTGCTTGCCCCACTCTCTTCGGCAATCTACTTGAAGAAGCAAACTGATATAGTTCAGTGTGGGCATGTGCTCATGAAGACATACAAGGACCCCAAGGGATTGACGTTCAATATCGTGTTGGCCCCCAGTGGTGGCATCAAGATTCCTAAGGCTGAGACGAACACTGGCGTTGGAGGGCTGAAGCAGGCACCGTCTTCGCTCGTCACCCCCTTCTGGCTCGTGCAGGATTCAGGTGAGCACGGCACCCCCAACATGAAGCTCAAGACCATCAAGTCTACAGCTGTTCCATCAGTGTCTGTACCAATTTTGACAAACAAGTGCGCCATCAACAGGGGCGATGTCCTTAGCGCCCAGCTGGCATCGCTCATGCCCAAGCGCAAGGTAGACGATGTGCCTGCTGCGCCCGCGGCTAAGAAGGCCAGGAAGCGATGAGGCTTGCGTGCTTGCAACATCGGTTACGCATAACATGTGTCGCGGGGGGGTGTTTATGAAATGTCTGAAAGCATCGTCGGTATCGTTCCTCTGCAATCGTTGCATCATTGCGCCAGCACGCGTCGGACTCGTCTGCAATTGTCCGTTGCATCGGCCCGCAGGCGTTTGGCTGTGCCCAAGCGAGTGCACGCTGCAGCTGCGCACGCACTGCAGCTGCAGATGGCAGTG